CATATAGTAAAGCTAGCTTAATAACCGGAACAAGAGCACATAATGTTGATAAAAATCATATCATAATTAGTAAAGGCCGATCTTTGATCGGGCGAGCGGGAGTGCTCAATTCATGACCTTCCTCTCTCGTTCCCAAGTTCCCAAGCCGAGGCAACTTTGGTGATGACAGACACGTGGCCTTTGGCACGAGTCATGGGTTTCCAAAATTTTTCCAAAATAAAATATTTAGGTGGCGACTTTGTATCTGCTAAAACAGTCCAATTTTGGCATTTTTGATTCAAAATTAGTTTTCCTAACGATTTGCTGGATTTGGACTCTTTGGTGTTTATCAATTTCACATTGAAGTTGTGAGATTAGATTCAGAACCGTGGGAGTCTGAACTGTAGGGCTTTCTTTCAAACTTCCAAAAGGGGGCACTAAAAAGTCAAGCTACAGTTTCTGGCAACTCTGCTTGGGATTTAGAGAACTTGACTCAAACTTATGATATAAAATTTTATCTGCACTTATATGTTTCTTTGCATTGCATTTGCATTTGTGCGCCTAAGTCACTATGCTTGCCATCTGCTATTCCTGGACGGTTTGCCGGAGGCTTGCCTAAAACGTTTGCCAAAAGGCTGACCGGTCACGGGCTCTGCCACGATGGGAACACAACCCTTGGATATGGACTACTGCTGTACCGTTTGATCCTCCTTTCACTTCTCAGTGTTAGGTGTGAGAGGTATATTGAGGCACCTTTTTGACCATTTGACCTAGTTGTATATCGAAAAGCCATAGAGACTGTTCCAAACTAGGACAAGATGCTTACCCAAAATGCAGGATTGTGTAAAAACTGCTTTGTTTGAATAGTGAACCCTAGCTCCTGGCGAAACTAGGACAAAGTAACCCTACTCCCTCAAAGGGGTGTTTTTGGCTCTCTTTACCTGGTATATGCTTTACAGTAAGACTGTACAGGGATACTTCATATCAGTGGTACTAGTGGGTATCTGTTTTAGGGCAGAATTCAGTAGAGAGTACATTCATTGAACTGTGATCATATCAGTTCTAGTGAAATTGCACTGAGGTGCTGTCTATTTTCTCTTTTGCTAGGTAGTCTTGGAACCATAGCTTCAGAAGGCTCTGATATCCCCCAGGTACTCTGGACTCGTGTCGATAGACTTTGTAAGGTTGGGGACGTTCAGAGATAGCTAGTGTTTGCTTCACTTTCACCGGTGGCGAGACAAAGAAGGGCCAGATAGGGTTCACCAATTCCATTAGTCCAACATTCACCAGTTAGATTACTTTCGTTCAGCTCATCCTAGGCATCTATCCTTATCATGGCTCAACCTCCGACAAATTTGAAAGAATTATTACTCTATCTGCAGCAAATAGTTGACTCCCTCTAGCATGACGTGACCTGTCAGGCCGAGGTTATAACTAGCCTACAGCAACAGCAACCACATCCAACAGCAGTTTCTTCATCACATGTACCCACCGCGGCTATCCCTGTGCCCGGTACCACAACTAATGCTACCACTGCTTAAGATCCACAAATCGAGGGTATTCTAGTTCTGCTAGTCCAAGTAGAACCCATCCCAACACAAACTTCCAGAGCCCCGATGTATCAAACCGAGGCACCGTTCGAATTTGAGGTTGATCTAACCGCGCTTAAAGTCAACAAGCTGAAAACGTTGTTCAAAAAGGCACAGGGGGTCAACTCTATTCCAGACATAGAGGATGGACACACTGAATCGGCGGTTGCCTTACCGGAGTAGTTTAAGATGCCGCATATTGACCGTTTCGATGGTTCTGGAGATGCGATGGTGCATTTGCATCTATTTTCTAATATCCTACGACCAATGGGTTTGATCCAAGTACAGAAGTTATCGTTATTCAGCCGAACCATGTCTGGAATAGCTGTTATTTGGTATGCTAAATTGGAGGACTCTATGAAATAGAGTTGGCAAGAGTTGGCCGAATCCTTCATTGCCCAATATTCCTACAACACGCAGATTGAGGTCACAACTCGTGATCTTGAGGCAACGCGTCAGGAACTGAAGGAGGGCTTTTCAGAGTTTGTCATTCGATGGAGGGAAAAGGCGGCTATGATGGCAAGCAGGCCTCTAGAGAAAGAGCCAGTTAGTATTATTGTTAGAAATCTGCATGAAAGGCTATTATAGAAAATGATAGTCCTCCCGCTATTCAACTTTAAAGACCTCCATGAAATTGGGGTTCAAATTGAAGATGCCATCAGGCAAAGGATCATTATGGAGGGTAATGAACCTATGAGAAGGAATGTTGTTCACAGTTCCAGTGGTAGCATAGCTACGAAATGCTCAGAAGTAAATACTGTCACCACTAATCCCAAAACTACCAACCCTTTTGCCAATACCAACCCACAAACAGCCAACCCAACCTGAGCTCAAGGCAGAACTTTCACCCCCCTCTATATGAGCCTAACCAATGCACTAAAAGTCCTAATGGAAAAGGGGTATCTTAAAGCCCTTGATCCCGAACCTCTTCTTGACCCACTCCCTGAATGATATAACCCCACCAAATACTACGTGTATCATCAGCAGTGTGGTCATGGAACCGATCATTGCTACTGCCTTCGCCATGAGGTTTAGAATCTCGTCGACAATCGTATAATAGCTCCACCTCAAGACCCCAATGTTAGCACCAACCCACTTCCCATCCATGACCCAGTATCTCCTCCCTACCTCTACCTAATCTATACACTACCATCCACCTTTAACCCTAGTATATATATCACCCCAACCCATTTACCCATGCCTGAGGTGTTCATTCCAAAAAGCATGGACTTGTGCATGATGGATGCACTTGAACCCCAATCATCTCAAACCACAAAATTTGAACTCGAACTCCACAATAGCCCAATTCCAATCCAACCTACTCCAAAGAGTCCAACCCAACCAATTCATCAAGACCAAGTTGGTTCAAATACACTGTGGGCACCAATGCCGGAACCTGCTATTTCTGAGCTATTGAGCATGATTGAAGATTTTTAGAGAACTATGGCAGATGTAGCCTTTGGGGTCTTCGTTCCATCATCGACCACATCATATGCCAAAAATTTCACATAAAAAAGCTCCCCAATCTTGGGGTGGGTTGTTGGAAAGGGCCAACCCGAAGCTGTCTCAAGTCTGGGTGATGACATATCAATAACAAATGGGCCTTGCTTCGATATAGCCACCCAATCCCTTGGCCAAGCTGAAACAAGTGGCAAGAATAAGGCAGGAGCAAGTATTGATCCCTATGCACATCTTCGGTGGGCTATTGAGACTTTGAAGGTAAAAGGGTTGAACAAGAAGCAAGTGCTTATAGTTGTTGCAAAGATTGTGCATGACACTTTTGTTGCTCCAGTTGGGAACATTTTTAATTAGGGGGTAAGCCATGAAAATGGATGCTTTACCAGGAACACCCATCCTACTTCCAGTCCCAAGCCCATGAATACCCAGACAACACTCGCCAACCCATTTGCCAATATTTCTAACACTGATGCTTCCTACTCCCAAAAATAAACCTTCGCCTATCTTCATATGAGGCCAATCCTTGCCTTGAAGGTACTGATGGAGAAAGGGTATCTCAAACTGCTCAATCCTCAACCTCTCCCTAACCCTTTTCCTGCTAGACATGACCCTACCTAGTATTGCACATTCCATTAGCAATACGGTCATCATACTGACTGTTACTTTCGCCTTCGCCACAAAATTCAAGACCTAATTGACAATAAGGTCATCACCCCACCTGAAAATCCCAAAGTTTTCAATACCCCTCTCCCTAACTTCAATAGATTGCCACTCCATAACATAAATCCCATCCATGGCTTGCCAACGACCAACCTTGACCCTAGCTAACATGGTCAAAAAGATGTGTGGGGACAATCAGGGTAATTGTGAGGCTCGATTTGTGAGACTCAATTTGAAAGTTTGAAATCAATCCTACTGGGTGTGGATGTTAGTATTACTGAATTGAAGGCAGGTTTGGACCCTCCCATAGGCTACTTGAAGTTGTTTTTAAAATCTACAAATGGACTTGGAGAGTGAAAACCCCTTTTGTCTCAAGGATGTTGATTTTGTTTTGAGTTGTGTCCTGTACATAGTCAAGTTTAGAGTTCTATTTTTTGTCTTTTCTTGCATTGTCGCATCAGTTGAGTCTCTTCTTTTGAGTCACTCTAATGTACCCTCAGGTCTTCGTTGTTTTCAATAAGAAAGTGGGAGTCAAGTTTTTAATCATCTTATTGTGCCTACAGTAATGCATGTGTGACCTTTTTAAAATAGAAAAAGCTTTGAATTTATTTTTTGAATGAGATTCTGTTAATAAGCTCGAGTCTTGAGAAGGATCCCCAAATGGTTTGAGTGGATTCTGACTTATCGATGTAAAGTCTTTCGTGATTTTGAAAAGTTTAAAGTTGTTTCTTTTGCAAACTTACGAAGATAGGTTCAGAATTGCGCATGGTATTCCACACTGTCCTGGGGATTTTTTTTCACCTTAAGGTGATCATTTTGGCGAGCACAAGATGGCTTTCTGACCTCATAATCATAGAATGTTTCCCCCCTAGTTTTTTCATTACTTCACAAAGAAATGGATAAAAGAAACCAAAAGAAAAAAAGAAGAAGAGAAAAAAAAAAAAAAAAAAAAAAAGAAAAAGGAAAAAAAATAGTACAAGGGAAATGACAACGAGCATTAGCATATGATTGGTGTATATGCATTTGTTTTCTTGTTCAAGTTTAAATTGTTTCATATATAACTGTGAGGACATCAAGGGTTTGGCTTAGAGTGCCTTAGCTTAGCAGAATGTCAGAATAGGATTGCATTTCTTGCTGCACTTTGGATCGATCAGTGCATTTGAAATCTTTAGCATTATTGTTTTGAATTCAAGTTAGGGATCATTTATGGGGTAATAGAAATTTCTCTAGTTTAAATGTATTTATTTGCAGATATTACCCTAAACCTGCATAACCTGTCTTCAGGGCATAGGGTGGCAATTGATATTTAAATGATATCATGTGAATGAAGTAATCTTGTGTCAATTTTCGATCTCAAAGCAAGAAATTTAATATTAGCTCAAATTCCTTCAGTTATCAAACAATTTCATTTATTACTTATATCTGAATGTAATACATCTCCTCGATGGCATTATTGCTTTTGCAGCTGGTTTTAAGGGTGAAGATGGTTATTCTGATACACCAACGAAACATGATACACCAACGAAACATGACATCAATGCCGGGTATTCAAGGGGAAATGCTGTGACCTTCGCAAGCAGAGTAGAACCACAATTGCGCAAATGTGAGACAGACATAGGGGCAGTACAGCCATTACTTGTCACCCCAAAGGTTCCCGAAGCATCGGTTGATGAAGAAGTGTTTTCAAAAGCATGTGGCACTCAGCCCAATGTCTTCACTGCCAAAGAAATAAATTCATGCATTGTGGCTTCAGAAAGTACACGTGTTGTTTGTTCTGTCATAATAGCACTGTTGGTGGTTCTGTCTTATACTAATCTTCCTCATAACATAGTCAAGTCGCAGAGCACCATAGCGTCGAGGCCTCTTTATATACTCCTACTGACTGATGTAACAATTGTGCTTCTACGACTGTTAGGGAAGCGAAGAGATTCTGAGAAGATTGAGGAAGAAGGAAAAGTTGGTATGCTGGAAGACGAGGAAAATTGGAAAGGAGCAGTTAAGATTTTGGAAATGAGTTTGGTATTCTACCAAACAATACGCGCTGTTTTCATAGATTGCAGTTTCTATGTGGTAGTTGTCATCTGTGGCCTTTCTCTGGTTTAGCTTTTGTTGTGGTTATGATCACTGGCAGCTTCTTTGGTCTCTCCAGTGTCTAGTCATGACAGCTAATTCCAATGAGAAACTCTTTTTTTATTCTTATTGACTCAGTTGGTTTTCCCTGTTTATGTCCCTATATGGAATCACTGGGAAAAAAACACTCCTGTTTTTCGTTTTTATTTTCTTTTTTGCTCTACTGATGTAATCATGTTTGCCTCTTAATGAGTTGCTTCCACTGTTGTTTATATCTACTTATGTTTTGACTTCTAAGTTGACTTCATTTTAACATTGTTACATTCATCTAATAATGAATTGTGTTCCTATTTTGTAGGTATTAGTTGTTTGGATAGGTGGTTTTGTTTGTGTTGCTAGTTTGAATCTTACGCACTGGTAAGGGAGGATAATTGATTGATGAGGTGCTTTTAATTCAATGAATGAATTAGGGGATCGATTCAGAGAATTGGACCTTTATATATGACTGAGAAATCATGCTGGAAAGTGAGAGCTTCTATAATTCGGGTCTTTCTTGTGTCCACAATGGTATCTATATACCTTAAATATTACATGTTGTGTTTACCCAAATGGCATGAGAATGAATTAAATTGTTGTTCTTAATCTAAGGACATTGTTGGGATTAGGGGTCCTTTTTGTAAGGTCATTGTGGACGAGTAGGCTGGCTCTCAAAGGCCAACAGGTGCGACCGCAGACTTAGCCTAATGGGTCGAGATTCAAGTTTTTTTTTTTTTTTCCTTTCGTTTTCCCCCCATCTTTTATTTTTTGTACCAAGTTCGTAGATTGGACCAGGCCTCAATCCTTAGGCCTAGGCCTAGCCCAAGCCTCATTTGGGCTAGGTTGGTCTACTTAGGATACGGACTTGGGTTGAATAAAAGCTAGTAGGGTCACTGACTTTTGAACCAAATGATGACCCTTATAAGGAAAATAAGAAAAGGAAAGTTGCGTAGTACAATGATAAGATTCAAACTCAGACATCACGGTTAATAAGGAAACACTCCTAACCCTTGGATGGTTATCAAACATTGACGAATGTTTGTTCAAGAATTAATTGCATGCATATCAATATTGCTTCACATGAATGCATTATATACTTGACCTAGTTACTTATCAAAAAAATTATATACTTGACCTAGTTGTTAATTGAATTGGAAGGTGATTGCAGAAACTTCAGATGTCATACCTTTTTGTGATGAACTTGTAATTATTCTGACCAAGAGTTATGGTATTTCTTTAACTGAGTACATAGAGAATTTTCCATGCGACTAATACCTTTTCTCTTGAAGTTGTTGGTTTGTCACTAACAGTGGTTTGGATAATTATATATAAAAATAAAAAAAAATAAAAAACTGAAATTTGAAATTGCTCGATGTTAGAAAAAATGCAGGCCCAAAATGGTAGTATTAGGATCTCGTGAGCAATTATGCATTCATGAGGAAGTGAGTTTGCTCCATGGAAGAACCCAGACAAATGCCTGTCATTCCCTTTGTAGAAAGCGCAAAAAGCAATATTGCCGCCATTTTCCTCGTGTTACAGGTAATTTTGTAAGAGTTTCACGTGGTTTCTTGTAACGATGTATATTGTTTGATTTGTCTATTTAGCTTCAAATCCTGATTTATGTGCTTTCAAAGTAAATATGAGTATTAGGATAGGTTGGAACAGGTAATGGGCTTGTTTAGCTGAATCAAATAACATAATTTTCTGTTGATTACAGTGGTGTTGATTTAATCTTTTTGAAGCTAATGGATTGAAATTTATGAACTATTTCTTGTCAGTCCGAAGGCTCTTTATGATATGTACCACTCCAAAGTTACTTTTGCTTCCTTCTATTTTTGTAGTGCATCAATTGTTCTGAAAACATTATACATTTCATTTTTTTTCCCTGTAGAATTCATGAAGGAAAATCCCAGTATTGGAGATCAACCTATTGATATAGAGGATTTGGTCAATATTGGAAAAAGCTGTGGAGCGTAGGTTTTCTACGTATTCTTTTCACTTTATGACAAAAAAGTGAATAATAAATCCTTGTATTTTTTTAACATAAACACTTTTTTGAAGGTGCCCTTATTATATGTCACGAGAGCTCCACAAGGTTGCTGATATCGTATTTGCACCTTATAACTATCTTATTGATCGTGGGAACAGAAAATCTCTTTCGATTAGGTGGAACAACAGCATACTGATATTTGATGAAGCTCACAACTTGGTAAGTAGAGATGCTTGCTTTTGTGATATCCTGGTCTTGTGAGTTACTTTGTGGATACCATATAATGTCTTTAATATATCACATGTAATACCAACCAACCAACCAACTAAACCAAGCCTTAAGTCCCATCAAATGGAGTCGGCTACATGAATCCTTCTTCTCCACGCGGCCCTATCAAAGGCCATTTCATTAGTCAAATTAAGTAGATTCATATCTCTATTTAAAACGCTAGTCAACGTTAATCTAGGCCTACCCCGTCCCCTAACACTTCCATCTACCGTTACAACATCGCATCTCTTCACTACTGCCTCTGTTCTCCGTTGAATATGACCAAACCATCTCAAACGATTCTCTCAACTTATCTTCTATCGGTGCTACTCCTACCCATTCCCGAATACACTCATTCCTAATCTTGTCTTGTCTAGTCTTACTACACATCCACCTTAGCATCCTCATCTCAGCCACTCATCTTATCTACATGTTGTTTCTTGATTGCCCAACACTCCGTCCTATACAACATAGTTGGTCTAATAGTTGTTCTATAAAACTTACCTTTTAGTCTAGTGGGTATTCGTTTATCGCACAATACCCCAGACGCACTTCTCCACTTACACCATCCCGCCTTAATCCTATGGGCCACATCTGCATCAATCTCTCCCGCTGTTGTGATAATCGACCCTAAATAACAAAAATGTTCACTCTTAGGCAATTCTTGATTCTCAATCTTCACTTCTCCTCTGCTTTCATTGTTACTGTTACTAAATTTACACTCCATGTATTCTGTCTTAGTTCTGCTTATCCGGAATCCTTAAGATTCAAGAGCTTTTCTCCAAATCTCTAACTTTGTGTTAACTCCTTCTCCAGTCTCATCCACTAGCACAATATCGTCTGCAAAAAGCATGCACCATGGCACGTCATCCTAAATATTTATCGTCAACTCGTCTATAACTAAAGCAAAAAGATAAGGACTTAAGGTAGATCCTTGGTGTAACCCTACAGTGATAGGAAATTTATTTGTCACTCCAGCTGGCGATCTAATAGTGGTCACCACTCCTTCATACATGTCCCTAATCACGTCAATGTAACCTTTTGTCATCCCTTTCTTAACACCCACCATATTATATCCCAGGGCACTCTATCATATGCTTTCTCAAGGTCGATAAACACCATATGAATGTCTCTTTTCTTTTCTTTATACTTTTCTATTACTCTCCTCAAAAGATAAATCGCTTCCATTGTTGACCTAGGTAGACAGAGGACTTGGCCGCTCGACCGGGCTAACAACTGGTCTGCTTGAGCGACCGAGCTCCTTGGTTTGCCTTTGCGACCGAGGTGGCCTGGCACTCTTCATGACCAAGCTAAAGTCAAGCTCGTTTTGCGCGGCCGCGCTTCCACTGATTGGCACTAAAATACTCTTCCTCCACTCATCTGGCATGTTCCTAATCAACAAAATTTTGCTAAACAACCTAGTCAACCAACCAACTCCTTTTTTACCCAAACACTTCTAAGCTTCAATAAGGATATCATTAGGTCCTAAAGCCTTATTTGATTTCATCTTCTGAAGTGCAATTTCCACTTCAAAGTTCCTAATCCTGCGATAGAACCTATAGTCTTGGTTTATCGTATTACTGGCTATTTCTTCCCTTATTGTCGTATCTCCATGTTCCTCATTTAATAGTTTCTCAAAATAATTATTCCATCTTTCCTTAATCTCATCATCCTTCACCAATACCTTAGAATCCTCACTCTTGATGCACTTTACTTGATTAAAATCTCTTGTTTTCCTTTCCCATATCTTAGCAAGTTTGTATACCCTCTTCTCTCCCTCCTTACTATCTAGTCTAGTGTATAGGTCATCATATACTTTCAACTTGGTCTCTCTCACTACTTTCTTGGCCTCCTTATTGGCCAATCTATAGCTCTTAAGGTTTTCCTCAGTTCTATCCTTCTGCCACTTTTTAAAACACTCTTTTTTTGCTTTAACTACCGCTTGAACCTCTTCCCTCCACCACCAAGTTTCCCTAGAGTTGGGTCCCGTTCCTTTCGACTCTCCAAGCATTTCCCTTGAGATTCGCCTCATACAATTGGCCATCGAGTTCCACATAGTGTTAGCATTACCTTCTAAGTCCCAAGTACCTTCCTTATCCATTCGATTCTTAAATATTTCTAGTTTATCCCCTTTTAGGTCCCACCATCTCGTCCTACGATGCCCACCATCCTTCTTAGCTTGGTATTGCCCTCTAAAACATAAATCTAGTACCAAAATCTTATGTTGAGAGACCAGACTCTCTCCAGGAATTACCTTACAATCATTGCATTTTAGGCGGTCCACTTTTCTCACTAAGAAGTAATCTATTTGACTCTTAACTAATCCACTCTTAAAAGTTATCAAATGCTCCTCCCTCTTCTTATACATAGTATTGGCCACCACCAGGTCAGAAGCCAACGCAAAATTTAAGATACTCTCTCCAGCCTCATTTTTGTCACCAAAACCGTATCCACCATGCACCCTTTCATAACCTAGTTTATCTATGCCCACATGGCCATTAAAATCTCCACCTATAACTAGGTTCTCTCCTATGGGTATCTCCTGTAAGATCTCATCCATTTGCTCCCAAAAATCCCTCTTAGTCTGATCATCTAACCCTACTTGAGGGGCGCATGCGCTAATAATGTTCACTATATTGCCTCCAATAACTAGTTTAACTAGTATAATCCTATCTCCTTTCCTAGTGACCGCCACTACACTTTCCACAAGACCCTTGGCAATTATGATTCCTACCCCATTCCTGCGTCTATCCTTACCACTATAATATAGTTTAAAACCGGTATCCTCAATTTCCCTAGCTTTCTCTCCCGTCCACTTAGTTTCTTGTATGCAAGCTATACTAACTCTCCTCCTAATCATAACATCTACCAATTCCATCGTCTTACCGGTTAAGGTTCCTATGTTCCAAGTGGCTACCCTAAACCTATAGTCTTGGACTAGCTTCTTTACCCGCGCTCGTCCAGAAAAGCGCGGAAACCTTTGGCCATTTTTCACCGCACCCAGGCATCGATGTGGCGCCCCTTGCTCACTTTTCGAAACACCCAGAGGCAGGCGCAACGCGTCACTTGAGGGGAACGACCTAATATTTAAACGATTCAAAGTAGGATTCATTTTCATAAGGGATCCGAGCGGCTTTTTTACGTGTTGGCTGTCGGCTACCTAACACACAACCCTCCTCCTTAACCCGGGCTTGGGACCGGCGGAGTTGTTAACAACCCCGGCGGAGTTATATATCACATGTAATGTAACAAGTAAAAAAACCATTTGCTGTAAATCTTGCATTTTTGTATATTTAATGCTTCATGATCTTGGCTAGTGATGGAAGAAAAATCTCCGAGAAAATGCAGGAAAGCTTATGTGCAGATGCTGCATCTTTTGACCTGCCTTCAGGAATTCTGACAACTTGCATTTCTGAAGCAAAAAATTGCATAGACCTTTCTATTGCAAGGAGGGAAATCTCAAATGACAAATCATGTAATCCAGATAATTTTGCTATTCTTAGAGGTAAATGTAATTGGTTGAATGAGTGAATAAAAGTTTCCCTTCTTGTCAGTACGTTGATCCTGTATATGTTTACTGTTCTGATAATATTTCTATTTTGGCTGATCTGAAGTCAGCTTGTGTCAAAATGATTATAGAATATGAGGTTCTCATTCCTATGCAAAATTTGATTTTTTCCTTGGATTTAGTTATATTTTTTGTCACTTTGCTACTTCTCATGAGTTAATCTTGCATTTCTTGCAGCGCTTCTGTTAAAACTTGAGAAGCGAATTGCTGAAATACCTATTGAATCCAAAGAATTGGGTTTTACCAAGCCTGGGCCTTACATTTACGAACTACTTGCTGATCTGAATGTCACACATAAAACTTCCACAAAGCTGATTAATATAATTGAAGAAGCGACTTTGCTTCTTGAGGAGGGTAAGCTGCTAGCAGTTATTGCCTGGACATTCAGGGTTTCATCACTATCCATGTTAATTGTTCCGAATGCGGTTTTTTTGTATGGGAACATGTATATATATATATATTTTAAGCAAATAGAATAAAAAAAAATTAGTCATTCTTTTTCATATTTCTTTGGTTGGTTTTATCAATGTTTGGACATGGACAAATTCATATTACAGAATATGAATGGTGGTTAGCCTTGCTGGTGTTATCTATTGTATTATATCTTTTTGGGTGCTTTACATCTAGATTCCTTTTTCCTTTCTACAGATGCAAATGCCACTGATAGTGGAGGGCCACACAAGGTGAAAGGAACCGTATGCAGACTGGAAAGCATGGGTGACATTCTTGGAATAATTTTCAGAGATGGGGGTAGAGCTCATGCTGAATATTATCGTGTAAGATTGGGAATTAGTCTATGCATTGTTACGTCAGAGCTGGAGTTTTCTCCATATTTCACCTTTGTTGTGTGGTATTGAGTTAATTGCTGAGTTGAATTCTTTTGTTGTGTTTTAAAGTTTCATGTTCAGGAAGTTGAAGCAAGTGCTACAGCTGCTTTTAAAGGTGATAGGGATGTTTTTTTTTCCACTATCTGAACTTCATTTGCTATGCTTGATGTGTGTTAAAAATTCTTCTTTTCTGTGATGTATACAATTTTTTTCCCTCCTTTCTTGTGAATTGTCTGTCTATCAAGTTTTTAAAGAATTAACTTGTATGAATCTAAGATTTAATCAAAATCTTAGATTTATACTTCGATTACACTGGTGAGATATACATTCCTTCTCTGAAAGTCTTTAATTATATATTTTTTTCCTAGATGCTTTCTACAAGGTCCCAATTTTTATTTTCTTTTATTTTTGTTTAAGCATGTTGCTTGTCCTCCAGTTTTATCATCTTGTATTGACAAGTATTTCCACTTTCCCATCGCCAAACTCACAATTGCAAATAAACGTTTTGTCTTTAGGAGTTTGTCTTAATATGTCGGACTTAGTGAGTTGTGAGATTACCTAATGGATTTTGATTATATCTTTGATTTTCATGGTGCAGGTAGGGCATCTAGAACACTCAGCTGGTGGTGTTTTAATCCAGGAATTGCCATGGAAGAATTCTCCAAGTTGGGTGTTGGATCTATCATTTTGACATCTGGCACATTATCTCCATTGGATTCGTTTGCTCAGGAATTTAAGTTGTGAGTCCCTTTACATGGATTATTCTTAGCTATATCACTTGGTTGCGTCATGACTTTCAAAGTTGATAAAAAAATATTTATTTTTTCTTTGGTTTCCATGTCAGAGAATTTCCTGTTCGATTGGAGAACCCTCATGTTATATCAGCAAATCAGATATGGGCTAGAGTTGTACCAGCTGGTCCATCTGGTTACTCTTTCAACTCTTCATATCGGAGTCGTGATTCCATAGAATACAAGCTGGAGCTTGGTAATGCTATTGGTACGTAATTAGGTACTGATAATGATGGTTTTAGGTGTTGGGTATCACAAGTACTATTAGTGGGTCAATGATTTGCATACCATGCACAATGATAGTTACAGGGGGTGATAAATTCTTTGAACCCCTTGGTTTAGCCAGAATGTGAGCTTTTTTAGATCTGATCATGTTTTCCTGACAGAGGCATATTTTGGCTTTTCAGTGCACTTGATGAAGATGTCATTAACATTCTTAGGTAGAAAAATTACAAATGAACCTTAGATTAAATTAGTCTTCTATTTGATATCAGTAGCCTCATTGCCATAATAACTACTTCATAAATTATTTGTTCCTTAAATTTAATGCTGCAGTCAATTTTGCTCGAATTGTACCGGATGGACTGCTAGTATTTTTTCCATCTTACTACCTTCTGGACCAATGTATTGGATGCTGGAAGAATATGGTAAGGCTTACCACAAGTAATGAAGAATTGTGATCAGTTTGCATTTTCTTTTTGATGAACTATCCTCTTTATTCTCTAGAATCATACAAACTCAACAAATTCCAGCACAATCTGGGAGAGAATCTGCAAACATAAGCTACCTGTCGTTGAACCTAGACAATCATCACTTTTCCCTTTGTCAATTGACGTAAGTAGCTGAATCTGCATACTTATTCAACACTCTTCAACTTTTCCTTATATACTGTCATCACGTCATATATTTCAACTGCATTAATTTTTGGGCAGGACTATATGACTAAGTTGAAGGACTCCTCAACTTCTGGTGCAGTATTTTTCGCAGTTTGTCGTGGCAAGGTGTGATTTCATCATGAAATTTAAGCAACACTTTCTTGCTGTGTTGTGGAAAACATTTCCATTTTTCTGTTGCGCTATAAACATTGTTGTCAAATCGCGAATCATGTTGCTAAAATAGTTAATAGTGAATTGTAAGATTTGTTCTTTTTTTTTTTTAAGAGCAACAACAAAATTTTATTAAAAAAAAGTGTGAAAGAGGACAAGGAGTCCTCATACAAAGAGAGAAAGACAGAGCGAAACAAAAACATAAAACTCATAGCCCTAGGGAAGGCAAACAGCATCCCAATCCCTAGAGATCAAGAACAAGGGAACTCCTTTAAAAGGAGGGGATACAAATGCCCTAAATGACGCCAAATAATCCACCCTATCCCACAAAGTCTCTACACTTGCTTCCTTGCCATCAAAGATTCTTGCATTTCTCTCCAACCATATGGCCCCAAAAATAGCAAAAACAATGCTTGTCCACATTGTTTTGGCTCTCTTGGTTCTCCCAAACCCTATAAACCGAATAAGAAGCATTTGAATACAGTCCCGCGGAGCAACCCACTGCTCATCACATAAGCCGAACAGCCGCTGCCATAACATACAAGCCACCGGGCAATGAAGAAATAGATGATCCACTTCCTCCAAGTTCCTCTTGCACATCACACACCATTGAGGGCAAAGAGAGTGATTAGGCCTTCTCCTTTGGAAAACATCAGTAGTTGTTACACCCTTTTGAGCCAAAGACCACATGAAAAACTTCACTTTATGAGGGGCATCTGCTTTCCAAATTTTCTTATGAGAAGGAAACAAGGGATAGAGGGATTATCAATGAGCTTATTAAAAAGGATTTACATGAAAAGACTCCTGAAGAGCTTAGATTCCACACCCTAATATCACAAGATGAAGAAAGAGAGACCCCCTCAAGCACTACCAACAAAGATGCCAGCTCCCCCGCCTCCCTATCATTCAAGTTTCTAATGAAATCAAAGTTCCCAAAGATGGGTGCCATAGAAGAGCAAGCCACTGACGCTATTGAAACATTTGAAGAATGAACCAACCGGTAAAGAAGAGGAAAAGATCTATTGAACGAGATATCGCCTAACCAAACATCCTCCCAAAAACGGATGTTCACCCCATTCCCCACTCTCAACGAAAAGTAGTTAGACACAAGGGGATACAAACAAGAAATGGATTTCCACGGTGAACAACAATTGCCTCTATTAACCACATTAGAATCTCTACTATTGGGTTGAACTCCATACTTGCTTTTAACAACAGAACACCATAGCGAATCACTTTCAATAGAAAATCTCTACAACCACTTGCCCAAAAGAGCAATATTCCTAGCAACGATGTTTCCAATAGCTAATCCACCTTTTTCCTTAGGAAGAGAAACCGTATCCCACCTAACCAAATGAACCCTTTTGCCCTGTTCACACCCTTCCCAAAGAAAATCTCTCATCAATTTTTCAATTTTCCTCGCAATGTTAACCGGGATTTTGAAAATGGATAGGAAATAAATAGGAACAGATCCTAATATGGATTGTACCAAAGTATATCTCCCCCCCTTAGACAACAAAGCTCGCTTCCATCCCTCCAATCTTTTCCCAATTTTGACAAGAACAGGTTTTTAAAAGGACGCCAATCTAGGATCTCCTCCCAATGGAAGCCCTAAGTATTTGATAGGAAAGGAAGCAGTGGAACATCCCAACATATCCGCTACCCTATGCACATAGCTATCATCCAAATTAATACCCATAACACTGCTCTTGTTAAGATTGACCTTGAGGCCTGACACAATTTAAAAAATTCTCAGAATCTGTAGCAAACTCCCCACTTTATTTTCGTCCTTTGATGAGAAGAATATAGTATCGTCCGCAAATTGTAAATAACTCCAATCCTATTCCTTCCCACCACAAACCCCTCGATGACACCCTTATCCTTAGCTAAATCAATAATCCTACCCAACACATCAGCAATTAAAATAAACAAAAATGGTGATAAAGGATTACCCTGCTTTAGACCCCTAGATGCTTGAAAAGAATCCCCAGCTTTACCGTTCACAATAATCGACATATTACATAACGACAAGCACCCCCAAATCCACATTCTCCACCTAACTCCAAACCCCTTCCTTTCCAAAACAAAATCCACAAAGCCCCAATCAACATGGTCACTTAGAAAATATGAGGAAGAAGAACTCCGAAAATATGAGGAAGAATGAATATATTTCTGTTATATTCAAAACTTCTTATTTTACAAGACCAAATGACACTCCTTATATAGGATACGTAGCCCCCTATACTCCTCCACAACCTCGTTAGCCAATAAGACTACATCCAATATCTGCCGACCTTGCACAAACGCACCTTGTGCCAAGGAAATAGTTTCCCCAAGGACAACTCTAAGTCTCCTAGAAAGCACTTTTGCTAAAATCTTATATAGAGATGTAACCAAGCTAATGGGTCTAAAATCCCTAATCTTGACCGACCTTTCCTTCTTGGGAATTAGACAAATAAAGGATGCGCTGGTACACAAATTAACCTTCCCACTTCCAAAGAACTCACCAAACACTCTCAAGAGATCACTTTTTACAATATTCCAACAATCTTGAAATACGGCCATTGAAAAACCATCCGGATCTGGAGCCTTATCTCTCTCACACTCAAATACAGCCTGTCTTATCTCATCCTCCTCAAAGGGCCTTTCAAGCCAACTAGCTGTCACTAACTCCACTGGAGCCCAATTAATGCCAACAATCCTAGACGATATCAGAATATAAATTTGAATAAAAATTAAAAACCTCCTTGACAATAAGCTCCTCCTTACACACAACCTCATTCTGACCCACTACCAAGTTTTTTATAAAACTCTTCTTCCTCTTTCCCGATGCAACTCTATGATAAAATCTAGAGTTGGTATCCCCCTCTGTAGCCCATTTCAACTTAGCTCTTTGACCCCAAAAAATCTGCTCCCTAAAAACGATCTCTTCCAGCTTCATTCTAAGCATTGACTACCTATCCCTTAACGCTCCAGATAAACCGTCCCCGGCCTCCTTCACATCTAATTTCTCAATATCCCGAACTAAACCCACTTTCACCGCACCTATATCCCCAAAAACTTTACGTTTCCAAACTTTTAAATTATCCTCGACTCCTCTCAACTTTCGGATAAACTTAAACCCTTCCCACCCATGGACTCTACCATTTTCCCACAAATCCCTAAAGAACTCCTTAAAAGATCGATTTTCCAACCACATATTCTCGAACATAAATGGGGTGGGACCCCATTTAAAAGGACAACTCTCAAGAATCACAGGATAATGATCTGACACAACTCTTGGCCCTACCTCTTGCCTTATGTCCGGAAATAACTCCTCCCACCCTAAAGTATGAAGAAACCTATCCAACCTACAACACACCCGATTTTCCTGAAGGTTAGACCAAGTGAACTGTGCATTACTCAAGGGAAGATCAATCAACTCACACTCCCTTATAAAAGAATCAAAGTCCCGCATACTCTTACTGGTGGAAACCCCATTGAGTTTTTCCGAAGCGAGCCTAACCACATTGAAATCTCCACCCACACACCAATTAGGGGAACAAAGCCCAAATAATCCTGCCAACTCATCCCACCAGTCCTGCCGACTCCTTTATTAGGACCATAAACCCCTGTCAGCCACCATTCCTTGTTATCCCTATTTCTAAACCTAATAGACAATGAAAATACCCTAACAACTGCCTCACACTCCAATATAACTCTGTCATCCCACATAATCAAAATTCCCCCGAATCTTCTTGTAGAAGGCAAGGTAGCCCATCTCCTAAAGCGAGTCTCCCAAACACTCCTAATAAAAACCTTATCACACTCCTCACACTTTGTCTCTTGAAACATCACTATGTCTGGTTGTTGCATTTTCAAAACCTCTTTAACTACGTCCCTTTTCCTACGAGACCGTAGTCCTCTAATATTCCAACTGAAGATCTTCATCGAGAATCATCATCACCCCTTGTCTTATTCCCCTGACCCTCATAATTGATGCTACTTTCAAGGTTTCTTAATTCCCTCAACCCTTTCCTTCACCCCGAACCTCTATGACTACCACCCCCCGTAAATGTAAACCCCTCCCTCCTAGACTGAAACTTCTTCCCACCTTTACTGACTAGTGCCAGCCCAAGAGTGTCAAGTAATTGTGCAAAGTGAGGCACATCATCCTCCTTCAAAGGGAAAGACACATACTTACTCATTTTCCTCAGCCACTTTTCAGACTCGTCACCATCGTGACCACAAACATTGTTCCTCTGAAGCCTATGATTAGGAGATTCCTCCATCAAAAGATCAGTCCTATGAGTATCCATATTACTTGCCTATGGGTTCAAACTACCGCTGGTAGAGTTCCTATTCGTATGTAACAGAGGCCAATTATCATTCTTGTTAGAAACCATTATACCCAATGATGACTCCCCCACCACCCCTCCCCTGACAGACACAGAATGAATACCCTGAATATGAGAAGGAGGTGAAGAATTCATGTCGTCCCTGTCAAAAGAATCACAAACCTTTTCACCAGAGTCAAAGACTACCTCACCCTTAGTCCCCACAGTGTGCTGATTACAAGAGGAAAATGGAACCTCCTCTTCATGGAAAAGCCGATTGAGGTTCGGATCAAAATCATCAACCTTCTCCTTAACTTCCTCGTTGGGACCCAGAGATTCATTAGAGCTTTCTTGGGAACCATATCCTTTCAATGCTTGGAGCACCCCTTGTGGATCGCAAATGCCCACATCCACTTCGTTAATCATTCAATCAACACCAGGAAAAACTTCAAGCGCATCATTATCAGCTTCATCTACACCATCAACTACAATGGGCCGCCCAATCTGGAGAAATTGCCCTGTCGATCAATCAACCATATCTGCCAAACCCAAATGAATTTCATTTGGGTTTAACCCATCCAGGTGATTCGGAACTCGTTTATCAATCCCATGCTCCATACTGATGTCACGAGTCACAAACTCCACACCCTGCTGTTTCCGCCTGTCGCTACCATAAGACCCATCTCCCCTCTAGTTTGTTGTTTGGGTCCTGTCG